TACTCTTTAATCCCCATCCCCTATTTTACCCATTTCCCCAACCTACCTCCCCTCTGGTAACCATCAGTTTGTTCTATAGTGAAGAGTCTGTTTCTTGGTTTATCGCTCTCTCTTTTTTTTTCCTTTGCTCATTTGTCTTGTTTCTTAAATTCTACATATGAATGAGATCATATGGTCTTTGTCTTTCTCTGACTGGCTTATTTCACTTACCATTATACTCTCTAGCTCCATCCATATTGTTGCAAATGGCAAGACTTCATTCTTTTTTATGGCTGAATAATATTCCTATGTGTGTGTGTGTGTGTGTGTGTGTGTGTATGTATCACCTTTCTTTATCCATTCATCCATACATGGACACTTGAGCTGTTTCCATAATTTGGCTATTGTAAATAATGCTGCAATAAACATAGGGGTGCATGTATCCCTTTGAATTAGTGTATTTTTGTATTTTGGGGGTAAATAGTAGTGTGATTACTGGATTATAAGGTAGTTCTATTTTTAACTTTTTGAGGAACCTCCATACTGTTTTCCACAGTGGCTGTACCATTTTGTACTCCTACCAACAGTGCAAGGAGGTTCCTATTTGTCCATATCCTCTCCAGCACTTGTTTCTTGTGTTTTTGACTTCAGCCGTTCTGAGGTGTAAGATGATATCTCATTGTAGTTTTGATTTGCATTTCCCTGATGAGTTATATTGAGCATCTTGTTATGTGTCTGTCAGCCATCTGGATGTCTTATTTGGAGAAATGTCTGCTCATGTCTTCTGCCCATTTTTTAACTGGATTATTTGTTTTGGGTTTTGAGTTGTATAATTTCTTTAAATATTTTGGATACTAAACCTAAGCTACCAGTTTAAATACCATCTTCAGCTAAAGACAGAAGAAAGAAAGGTGTGAGGACACTTGTTATAGGGAAGGGGAGGACGGTTAACAGGAAATTCACCATAAACAAGGGTAAGGTTTGTTATGCACATTTAAATCTGCAATTTAACGGTTGGTACTCTGGATACCATTGATTTTCTTGTGATTTAGAGTCATGCTTTTCTTCTTGGTACAGAGACGGAGACATCCTTTATAAATGTAAATTCCCCTTTCAAAAGGTAACTTTTACTCTTTTCAAAGCTTTTCCTATGTCTGCTCTTTCTCAATCAGCTCAAAATAATCTGTGCCATCTGCCCATTCTTAACTGGATTATTTGTTTTTTGGGTGTTGAGTTTGATAAGTTGTTTATAGATTTTGTATACTAACCCTTTATCAGATATGTCATTTGCAAGTATCTTCTCCCAGTCAGAGAAAGACAAATACCATATGATTCCACTCATACATGGAATTTAAGAAACAAAACAGATGAACATAGGGGGTAGAAAAGAAAGAGGCAAACCATAAAACAGACTCTCAACGATAGAGAACAAACTGAAGGTTTGCTGGAGGGGAGGTGGGCAGGGGGATGAGTTAAATGGGTGATGGGTATTAAGGAGGGCACTTGTGATGAGCACTACATGTTGTATATAAGTGATGCATCACTAAATTCTATCCTGAAACTAATATTACACTATATGTTAACTGAAATTTAAATAAAAACTTGAAACAAAAACAAATAAATAAAAATCTATGCCAAAGAGGCATATTTTGGGGTGGCATATTCTGTTTCCCTTCACTACATGCTGACCCTAGATGGATGAGTACCTTCTGTCTAGTTTCTACAACTCTAAAATTTGAACACTGGTATTTCTCTACCTTTTTGATAAGATTGTTATGAAGACTATGGGACATAATGGAAGGGAAAACATATTGTAAGTGGTAAAATTCCATACAAATGCAAATTAATAATGGGAGAATTATTTGTAATATTAGATTATAAACTTCTTAAGGGGTTGGATTGGATTAGGCTTTAATGATCATTACAGCCATCACAATGCTTAGCATAGTACTAACCAGTGAATTTAATCGGTGCTCAAAAAAATAAAATAAAAATTTCCTAAATGAAATAAAAGGATGAAAAGGAATGAGGGTGTCTAGCTCTTTTTTACCTGCAGTCCCAGTTAGGATTTGGTGACTTCATTGCATGTGTGAGAGATTTCCAGGGCTGACTCATGCCATCTATCCCTTTTATAAAATAATCACTTTGAAGAAGATAAGTAAAGGACTTGGAGATTGGACTGCTTTCCATTTGTTATTTCTAAGAGAAGCCATTCCCAGAATTTTTCAAATTTTCTCACTTTGGTACACAGACAGAATTTTCTGAAATCAGGTTTTTTGTGTGTTTTTTTTCTGGGAGAACAAATTTGTGAAGTCATGTATCACTACATGGACATATTGTAGCTGGTGAAAAACTGTTATGATAAATGGGAAACATACAGTTTTTTTCCTTTTTTATCTTTGGCTTTTCCCTGTGTGGTACAGATGTTGAGCCTTGTGAAATATACAGTTTAATACTTTGCATTGTAAATAGAGTACAAGTAAATGCCCTTTGATAACTTTTATGCCTAGCAAGTCTCTGGCATGAGTCTGTTTTGTTTGGGTAGGAGAGACTAGCAAACAAAAATCTCACTTTCATTCTGTGCTAGGAAATGAAGAGTATTGTCTTATTTCTGCAACTCATAAACAAAATGTTTAACACTTTCTTAGGAGTCAAAGAACATATGGTGATAGTCTCAAATGTGTATACAGCATTATATGAGATCCTTTTGTTGGTAAAAAGAAAGTAGAGTAAGTCAAAAATGCATTAATACTTTCAGTCTATTGAGGTCAAAATGGACTTGAGGGTTGAAAGATTTAAAGATTGTTAGCAGGGAGGAGGTTGTTGTGTTGCTAATGTGAATGCTAATATTTAAGTAGCCTAAGAAAGAACATAGGTAGTGTCCTGTCTCACTTTTAAAATCACATTGTATCCAATAAGTGTCAGCTGCAAAATAATTTTCCAGAAATGGTCTGAAAAAAGAAAAAAAAAGAAATGGTCTGATTTTCTCCATTGACTTCAGTTGTAAAATGAGAGCTGTGTTCCCCTCAAAAATAAATTTGGCCCCAAGTTATAATAAAACATACTGAAGAATTCAGAAAATCTTAAATATAAGATTTATACTTTTAGAAATTTTATATCTTTATATTTGTAAATTTTAAGATTTATCTTAAAATCATAAAATCGGTTATTTCAAAACACATTTATCAGTGCCTGATAAAATAATACTACCATAAAATATTAATACACTATAGTAGACCTTGTAATAGCATGCCTCAACCTGTGCTATTATCCTTCTTTTATAATTCTAAGTATTTTACCTTTTCACAAAAAGACATTTTACTTCTCTGATCATTGATTTTTTTAAATTTAACTCTAATTTTTAAAGGTGGATTTGGTTTCCTTTATTCTTCATTGTTAGCCCACTTAACCTTTCTCTGAAGCATTCTTACCAATTTACATTCAAAAGTTATTAGCCATTAGAAGAAAGACTAGAAGAAAATACTCCAAAATGTTCACAATATTTGCTCTGAGTTAATGAAAATTTTAGTTGGTTTTTGTTTTCGAACTCGCCTAAAGAGATTTTTTTTTTTTTTTTATAAAGAGAGAGAAAGGGACGCCTGGGTGGCTCCGTCCTTGGGCATCTACCTTTGGCTGAGGTCATGATCCCAGGGTCCTGGGATAGAGCCTGCATCGGGCTCCCTGCTCGGTGGGAAGCCTGCTTCTCCCTTTCCCACTCCCCCTGCTTGTGTTCTCTCTCTCGCTGTCTCTCTCTCTGTCAAATAAATCTTTAAAAAAAAAAAGAGAGAGAGAGATTGGGGTACTTGGGTGGCGCAGCCAGTTAAGCATCTGACTCTTGGTTTTGGCTCAGGTCATGATCTCAGGGTCGTGAGGGTGAGCCCTGAGCGGGGCTCTGCACTCAGAGCAGAGTCTGCTTGGGCAGGGGGAGCAGAGGGAGAGAGAGCCTTAAGCAGGCTCCACGCCTGGCACAGCTTTTCTAGAGCATACTACTCAAAGTGTATCCAGGACTGGCAGCCTCAGCATCACCTGGGAACTCAGTAGAAAGTGTAATTCTCAGCCTCCTGGGCTCAGTCCTAGCAAACAGCAGTCTGGGTTTTAGCAAGCCCTTTGGGTGACTAAGGTTCTGGCGCTATAGGAGAATCTCTCCCCCTCTTTCCCATCTCCCTTTCTCTCCCTCCGTCTTCTCCCTTTCTCTTCATACCTCCCTCTTGCCTTCCCTCCTCTTTTCTCCCTCTCCTTCCCCTCTTCATGTGGGATACACACACACACACACACACACGTAGCCTATATATAGAATTCACTGTGACCTCTCTCTAAACAGAATGTGTGTATTTAAAAAGAGAATATTTTTTTCTAAGTTTTTTGTTGTTCGTTTCTGCCCTACCTTGTTCATTAAAAGATAACTGAGGCAGTTTTCTGGTATTTGTACTTATATGCTTTCATTTAGCAAACATGTTTTGCATGGTTATACATTAGATAGTTATGCCTAGTTTACAAATTTTTGAAACCAATTAACCAATAAAATGACTCTAGCAAGTTATTGTAGACTGACTTGTGTCCCTGCAAAAATTCATATGTTGAAGCCCTAACCCCCAGAATCTCAGAATGTGACTGTATCTGGAGATAGGGTTTTAAAGAGGCAATTAAGTTAAAATGAGGTCCTTAGGGTGTACCCTACTCCAATATGACTAGTGTCCTCATAAGAAGAGGAGATGAAGACACAAACACAGGCAGAGGGACCACCACGTGAGGATATAGTGAGAAGGTGGCCATCTACAAGCTAAGGAGAGAGGCCACAGAAGAAACCAAACTTGCCAACACCTTGATATTGAACTTCTAGCTTCCAGAATCATGAGAAAATACATTTCTGTTGTTTAAGCTACCCAGTCTGTGGTATTTGTTATGGCAATCGTGGCAAATTAATATGTAAGTATTTATAAAAATGATGGTATCATTCAATCTTAACATCTAGTGTTTGCCTTTAAGATGCTATTGGGTCATGTTCCTTAACAGAAAGCTACAGCTTTACAAAGAGTGCCAGAGACCAGTATGAAAAACTGTTCACCATGCACAACAACATGCTAAAGCTCTATGAGAATCTTGGAGAATACTTTATTTTTGATTCTAAGACAGTGAGCATAGAAGAGTTCTTTGGTGATCTCAGCAACTTCCGAACTTTGTTTCTGGTGAGTAATACATCTTAAAGGATTGCAAGGCCTGTTGTTTGTGTTTTTTTAAAAATTTCTTCTGTTAGCATTTTATGTACCTATTGATCATATTGATTTCATGTTATAGTCCTTTACCAGGAATTGACAGATATTTTATACCTGTGACATAGATAAAAATGGTTGGCTGGCTTAATATATAATGGGGACTTAAATGAATTATCTTCAACTTTAGATATATATGGGAATTTTTCTACTGAAATTTTATAAGAAAATGAACGAATTGGTACTTAAATGATGTTTTTATACAGCATAGTATTATAATTTGACCTACCTTAAAAATTAATATCTAAAGTCATCTTTCACTTAATACATTAAAATGCTATGATCTGTGAGCAAGCTTTTGTCATAGTCTATATGAGAAATCAATTCTAAATTAGACTTATATAAATGACCTGGAATACTTAAATTTTCTTTCATACTGTAGGTTCCTATTTCAAACTATAACTCTTGGGGATGACAGTAAATATTAGCATTAATTAGAGATGGGTAATCAGGGTGCCAGTTACGATGCTAGAGGGAAGCAAAAGCTTTACTGTATAAATGTTGTGGAAATACTACTACATCAAAAACTAATGACGTAATGTATGGTGATTAACATAACATAATAAAAAAAATTTTTTAAAATGTTGTGGAAATAGTTCTCTGCATCCAGTGAAAAAGTAGAAAAGCACAGACTCCGATTATGATAGTAATAGCGAGATATGCATAATAGTTGATATCAAATAAGTAAAGTTTCATGTATTTTAAAGAAGGAATTCTAGCAATTATCCCCAACAGGAAGATCAGTTAGCAAACGAATTCGTTGCAGTTTGAGGTATGTTTCTATCCCCAAAGCAGTTATTTGCTAAGTAAGGCTCTCTCTCTTGACTATGTTGCCCCATGAAATTGTTGGATTGTGGTATGACTTGCACAGTCGGTGAGATACAGATATTTTTGTGGAAAGCATTTGCTTTTATCTACTAAGTTAGGACATATAACCCAGAGCACATCCTATTTTTGGTGATAGAAGCTAAATAAAATCTTTCATAAATATGATCATTTGTCTTTTTTTTTCCTGAGAATCTTAGCTTATTTTGGTCTTTGGTCTTTACCCCTTAATAGACATATATATTTACCTTTTTAGCTGGCCAGTAAGTAGTAAAATGTGTTCTGGCAATGACTCGCCCAACTATTTTCAAAACTTAAAAGTTATAAATATGACGTGAACCTATGAATACCTATGTTATATCTACTTGGACTGTTTTCAAGAAGAAAAAAAATATGTTGAAAAGGAATGAAGACTAGAAAATACACTTCAGTTGACATATTGAAAAGATAAATCCAGTAAGTTATTTTTGTAACATCAATGTCTGTGGGTAAATGGAGATAAATATAATTAATATTGTCAATCTCTATTAAAAAGTGCCTTGTTTTAACATGGATTGGATGTGAAAACATTGTCACATTAGTGCCCCTCACCTCCCTGATACACAGTCATAGAATAGAATTTGATGTACTCCCATTTTATAGCATTTAAGGACAATTCCTGTGTGGCAGCCTGTGTTTAATCATGTTAACCAGATGCTTAGAAATCTTGCTAAGAACTAGAACTGTATTTGTATTACTTCCCAATCATAAGTTGTTGGGTTATTTTTTTAATGTAATGATGTCATTTTTAAGAAGACCTGACTCTACGGCCTGGTGCTGTTACTAATAAGCTGCGTGAGTTTATATAAGTCATTTATCCTTTGTAGCTACGTATTTATTTATTAAAATGAAGTGATTTTACTCCTGATCTCTAAGAATTTATTCCTCTTTAGAAGTCTATGAGTCATAGAATTTCAGAGAGTAATGTGAATTGTATACATAAATAGGATATATTTGTCTACTGACTTCCTGTGTGTATAGCTTGAATACAGGGAAATAATTTGTCACAAATTATTCTCATTGTAAATAAGTTGACATTCTGGAGTCCAGTTTTGTGTACATTTATGTGAATTTCTTGAGATCCTGCTAAGATTGATTTTAAAGCTTTCAAAACAGGTAACCATGTCCTACAATGTGTCCTGGTCAGCCACCACCGTCTGCCTTTCAGAACACTATTACTATCATTTTTTTCTCCAAATCATTATTGACTTGCTGGCATGAGAGCTAAATGTACAACTTATTGGTTGTTTTGAACTTGGGTTGGTTGTGTAACCTCCCTGGGCATCAGTTTCCTCATTTATAAAATACAGGTGATAATTCCTGACATTTCTTTCTCAGCACTATGTGAAAGCACTTCATAACCTATGCTATGCAGATGGAGAATATTATCAGCCATACTCTGTCCATCCATTTGATTATTTTTTATTGAGAATCAATTTGATTTTGGTAATGCTCTGGGTCCAGAGAGAAAAGGAAGAAAATAGTCTCTCTCTACCCATGAATGAAAAGACACAGACAGGTAAATACAATGTAATTTGATAGTGCTGCCTTAGCAATATCAAGGTGCTATAATAATGCAAAGGGAGAACTGCCTAACCCTGCCTGAGCTGGCCTGAGAAGCCTTCACAGAGAAAGTAACATTTGGGCAGAGTCAGGAAAAACTGTAGGTGTTTGACAAGTAAACTTTGACAAGCAGGTTTAACGGTTTTACACCTGACCTATAAGCTGAACACTCCTAAATCAACACCAACTTCAGTCAATCATTTGTGTTCCCCATGTTCCTATTTCATAGTGAGCTTAAAGTGATTTCACTCTCCCAGGGGAGGGAAGAACCCTGAAAGAGAGACAAAAATTGTAATCGCCAGAAGTTCCCATTTTCTTAGTGTTTTGTGTATTTGGCTTCAGGGTTCCTACTGCTAAAAACATATTGGACTATAGATGAAGGCAATAAAATACCAGTATTGCTGAGAGGAAAATAAGAGTTCTGATTCATGTGCTACCAAAAATTACTTCCAAATGAGCTCAGAGTTTCATCTTGGGAGATCTATTTGGCATGTATAGCATAAACAAAAGGCACATACTAAAAAGTCTTCCTCAGAGAGATATCCTCTAAAGGATGGGGGAAATGGAAATAAAAGGGTTTGACATTATGGATTAAGACCTTTTTCAAAATAATCACATTCAAATTAATGAAAGCAAAATTGGATAATCTCAAAGAGATGCTGCTATACTAATAATTCATATCATTCATATTATATATTACTCAACTGAGGATGTTAAAGATATTCAAGATGAGTGTCCTATACATTAGCATGAAGATATATGTAATTGGAAACATTTCTAAATTCAGAATTAAGTCTCTCTTTCTAGTTAGCTTCCTGACATCGTCAGAGTTCAAAAAACTGCTTATAATATAGGCAAGATTAATTAATAATCCCTGAATTTAAGTTGAATATTTTATGGAAGAAAATAAAATTCCACATTTATAGAATGTCTGGATATCTTTTTTTGCTTATTATTCTTTATGCTTCAGTTAGTTCAAATAGTTGGCTACACAGTCTTTTTTCTTTTGAGATATTTTGAATAGAATATTCAAAATCAGTGAACCTTATATGTTTCACTGCCATGCAGTATCTAGCTTAGGCATAAAAATTAATTTCAGCTGTTGGGAAAGTGTTTGAGGCAAGTATTATACTTCAGTAACTTTCATAGCTCTAAATAAATTATAGAAAATATTTCTTTTGTATTTTAAATCTTTCAGTTTCCTGTTGATTCTGTGTGTTTTTGTTTTGTTTTTTAAAGAACAATATGTTACTCAGGCACTCAATTAATTTTTGTTTTGTGTGTGTTCTCTTTCTATAGCTCATATACTGGAAATATAGGAACAAAGCTTTATAGAATTAATAGATTCATTTACATAAGAAGAAAATGTTACCATTACTATTAATCATGCTAGAAGATTTCCCCTCAACAAAATAAGTATTTGCTGCCATTCATTTGATAAATAAACTTTAACATTTTTAAATCACAATTTCCTTTAACAATTTTTGAACAGCTCTTAGATGAATATTAAAATCACTAAGTGTTAGGAGGCTAAGTGATAGCTATATTTATGCCATCATTCAGTCTTCTTGCTTCTATCTCCTAAATGTCTTAGAATCCATTCATTTCTCTCCAATACCACTGATGCTGTTAATTCTGGGCCTCTACCATCTCTCAGCTGGACTATAATGATGTTCTGACCAGTGTCTGTGTCCACTTCTCTTATTCTTCTAATCCATTCACCACATTAAAGTCAGAATAAAACTGAAAACAAAAGAAGACAGTGTTACTTTCCTGACCTAAAATTCTTTAACGAATTCTCTGTAGCCTCAAGATGAAATCTAAACTGTTTCAAATTAAAGTGGTTTCTAAAATCAAAAGAACTATGGTTACTTAAAGGCCGGACCACCTATGCTTGGCTGACTGAGCCATAATCACTTAATGTGTACTCTCCTCCCAGACTGGTAAAAGTAAAGTATGAAAGTGGAAGCAGCAGAACAAGACAACACTTAAGTGTCTAAGAGGACCTGAGCGTCTTCGAACAGAGAGAAACTTAGGGAGCACAGTATTAAAACTAAATGAAGGCTCAGAGGCAAAGGTGTGATTGCCATTATGCCTTAATTGATCCCATATAGCAAGTATGGCATGGGGAGTTATGAAACTGAGGTTATTCTTATCTTCATTCTCATTTAGGGATAGTCTTCCTTCTGTCTTAAGTAATTGTCCTTTCAAAATCTGAACTTGCATGAGAGCTCCTTATGTACCCATGTTGGCTTATGGAGATATTTAATTTTGAGAAGCTCTCATTTCTCTCAAGCTGTGTTCCTCTTTATAAGGTCTCAATCATGTCTAAATCTAAAGTATAATTGCAAAGCCAAAGTGAACACCTGCATTTAGTTACACTCAAAAGACTAAATTGATATATATAGAACATTTTTATTCATTCATTAAAGGCAATTTGCCTTTAAAGAAATGAGGATGGGGGCGCCTGGGTGGCTCAGTTATTAAGC